CCGAAGCCCGCCAGGAACTGGAGGCCTTCCGGGGGCTGCGGGCGTTCTTGGGGAGCGACTGGACACTGCGGCGGAACGCCCTGGTAGTGGCAACCGGCAGTAGCCGCGAGGCTGGCGCAGCCTCGACCGCCCGCTGGCCCCGCGCGATGGTTGCCGAGGTGGGCCGCGTGCAGGGGCGTGCTTGTTTTTCGCGAGATTGTCTCCAGCGAGCCCGAGGGCGGGGGCGGCGTGCCCGCGGCCCGCCGCGGCGCGCGGGAGTCGGCTCTGGTGGCTGCTGACTTCTTGTGGGAAGTGAGAGCATGCTGGCCGCCGCGGGTGGAGATGAGGAGCTGGGCCCCGCCTGGGAGACGGACCCCGGCTTCCCGGAGGCCCCCGCGGCAGGCCTTGCGAGCAGCCGCCGTTGCTCCGAGCAGTCGTGGCGCTCGCGTTTTGGAGGAGGGTGCCCTTATAAAGGAGGCCCGCGCATTGGATCTTGTCGGATAATATGTCAGTTGTGTTATCTTGCAACTGGAGACGAGCAGAAAGAGTCCGCCCTCCTCGCCTCGTCCAGGTTCGCAGGTTCCGTGCCTACTGCTTTGCCGGGAACGTGAAAGTGTTTGTCCGATGGGTCTCGTCTGAGCTGAATCCAGCCGACTACGGGTCTCGTGGAGGAGAAAGGGGCTCCGGAGCCCTTGGGCGCACGGCTCGTCCATGCCCGGCCGGCCCCCCATGGAGTCCAGTTTTCAGGGGCCCCCCCAGGGTTCGCGCCCCCTTTTCCAGTATCCGCTTCCATTCAGTGTTTGTAGTCAGCCTCACGAGCCACGTTCTCCGTTCAGCGCTTGCAGTCCGTCGCCCGAGCCTGGCCCGGGTGCGAAGTGACGTGCGCGTGCCAATTCCAGTCCCGTGTATCCCGAGAATGATCGGACGTCTTCGTACCCCATTTTGGTTCAATGCTCCCAGGGGGATTCGGCCCCCTGCAGCGCGCCCGATCGGCGCGCGGAGGCGGAGGCTGGAGCGGACAGCGCCGACGCTTGCGCAGGCCCCTGCGGCGCGATGGCCCAGGCGGCTCGAGCAGACAGGGCCCGCCGCGCCGAAGGCTCGGGGCCCGCGGCCGCGGCGCCCGTCGGCGACCAGCCCGAGGCCACCTCCGGCGCCGCGGCGCCAGACCACGCCGTCGGCGGCCCAGCAGTCGCGGGAATGGGCGGCCCGCCTGAGCTCTGCTGCGCTGCCGCCCGCACCGCGGTTCTCCGAGCACGACGGGAATGCCCTCCAGGGCTTGCGGCGCGAGGGCGGGGCCGCCAGCGACGAGAGCGGCAGCGCCTCCGACGGGCAGCCGGTCGCTCGGGCCGGCGCGAGGCGCTAGAAGGCGCTGCTGATGGGGGCCAACATGCACAGGCGGACCTACGGGGCCGGGGCGCTGCTGGACAGCAGCGCAACAGAGGAGGGCCCAGCCCCCCGGCGCGCCGCTCGGCGTTCGTCCATGCGCAGCGGAGGCGCGGCCAGGAGTAGGGCGCCGTCTGGGAGGTTGGCCACGGGGAGCCGACGGGGCCCTTCAAGTCCGCGCTGCAGGTGGACGAAGGCCTCGTGGACCACGCGAACCAGTTGCTTTCCGACGCCCCCGAGTCCGCCGAGGGCGCCCAGGCGATGACAGGACCGATGCGCAGCCTCCCCGATCGAGTACTCGAGGCGGGAGGAGGCGAAGACCCCGCGAGCCTGGAGGCTCCTCTGGGGCCGTCGGAAGCTGGCTTCTGGACAGAGCCGCTGGGCCTGGCCGTCGGCCCGCCGGCGGGGTCTGGCGCGGCGCGTGGCGGGCCGCAAGGCCTTCTGGATGGCGGTCTCCCCGTTGGCGATAGTGTCCGGCCGCCTCGGGCCCGGCCACCCGCTCGCCCTGATGCGCGACGGCGTCATCGCGCCAGCGCCCAGAATGCGCCGCTGGCGGCCGCAGCTGCTGCTCGCAAGGGGCAGGCCGCAGGGAAGCAAGAAGGGCCTGGCGGGCGCTGGGGTCAGGCTCGACAAAGCTGGCCTCAGCGCGCCATGCCCATCTCCCGCGAGATCGCCAGCGGGGGGCCCGAAGAGCCAGTCCGGGAGTTCAGTTGTTCACAGTTCCTGAAAGTTTTCGGGTTGGCCCTGCAGAGGGCGCAGATGGGCCAGCGCGCAGCGCCATGCCGAGCCCGACGCCCGGGCACAAGCATCGAGGTCACCAGACATCACATAATGCTCGAGAAGATCCCGATGAGAGGTCAGTGGAAGCTTGCTAAGTCAGCGCATCGGTACGAGAGGGCGCGGCCAGGCCAGTCGCGACTGGGTCATCTGCGAGAAACGCTGACATGTTGCGAGCGTCGTCCCGAGGACATATTGCTCGAAAGAGGTGCCAATGATATTATCCTGTAAAATGGGCGAGCCGCCGCCGCAAGTACGCGTTAGATCTTTTCTCGGGCTCTGACTTCATAGGGCGCGCCGTGCGAAGGAGAGGTTTTCACCACCGCGGGTTTGCCAATCATAATGGTGTGGACGAAGGCCGCATTCGCCCGGTTGTCATCGCTCGAATTCGGACCGCTGTCGCCAGAAAAGAAAGCATAGCTGCGGCGCTTGGCCCCCCCTCGGCGGCCGACCGCGGGAAACCGCCCGGGAGTTCGGCCCAGCGCCCCTGGGGAGTCCCGGATGCCACCGAACACACGCGTGGTAGGATCGCAGCAGTTAATGAACCTTTTTATGGCGGCTCTGAAGCTCATGGGAATCCTTGTGGGCCCCCCTTGTGCTCGAGCGTCCGATCAACCGTAGAATTTGGCACATGCCACAGCTGTAGCACTTGATGATTGCACGCAAGCTGCATGTCCGTGTCTGTGATCAGTGCCAGTTCGGAGTCCGTTGGAGGAAGCGCACCAAGCTGTTGTTTTCCGGTGTCGACCCCCAAGATACCCTTAAGCTCGAGAGGCGCAGTCGCAGTTCTAAAGGGATATGCTCGGCTTCGGAAAGACCGCACGTCGTCCTCGAGGGCAAAGCCCCGTTCGGGGCCACGTGGGCCTTTATTGCAGCCGCCTGCCCGCCGAAATTAGCATATTGCGTGGTCAACTGTCTGCTCAGCGGCCGAAGGGATTTTTGAAGCGGCGAAGCTTTGTTAGCCTTCCTCGCCCTCCCAGCGAACCCTTTGGGATGTTGGGCCTTCTGTGCGTCTGTGAGCTTCGCCAAGACGAGTGGCACGTGATAGCAGAAGCGTTCCCCACCTAATGTAGCAGCTAGATTGTCATTGCGTGCGCGGGAAGGTTTTGAGCGAAACGACATGATGTATCTGGTCTGACCGAACCCGCTTAAATTGGGGGGCCCTGGGGCTCCGTAGTTTCGTTTCGGCTCCTGACCTCCCTTGTTCCCTCCTCGCTCGCCTTACTTCGCCTGGGTTGTCTGTGCGTCTGTGAGCTTCGCCAAAGCGAGTGGCACAGTGTAGCAAAAGCGTTCCCCACCGAATGTAGCAGTACATGTATACATATAGATGCATGTGTATCAACGTGTGTGTGTGCGTGTGTGTGTATGCGTGTGTGTGTGTGTGTGTGTGTGTGCGTGTGTGTGTGTGGGTGTGTGTGTGTGGGTGTGTGCTTCTCGCTGGAGCGGAGTTCGCCGCCTCGCCGCTGACGACATGTGTGGGTGTGCGCAAGAGTGCTGCCAGCCTGTGACCACTGCGGGGGGGGGGGGAGTTTGGCTGACGAGAAAAAGGACCGTCGGCACTGAAGTCTCGATTGCTGTTTCTCTGGGCGGGATTGTGATTGCTATTCCCCCGCGGTGGGTCGCTCGGGGAAACAGGGTGCGGAACGCAAAAGGAACACTATCATGTTTGGGGCCTACGCGGAAGCATGGTCCCTGTGAGTTGGTCGGATAGGGGTCCCACCGGGGCTTCGGCAGGAACCTGCGCCTCGACGGATACTGGGCCGACGCCGAGGCGAGAGCACGATTTTCGACGAACGTGCTGCCGTGGTTTGTTCGGGAACGTCTGCGCGGCGGCCCCATGGAATACGTGACCAGGCCTCGGCAGGGTTACGGCTGCGTCAAGCGGTTTCAACAACAAGCGCGGCCGAGACCTCAACGGAAATGTCTGAGGGCAGTCTCACCCATACGTTTTTCCATTCGTTGCCTTCGTGCTTCCTCCGCTCCCCCCCTCACGATGTAAATGGTGTGACCGCCGACATGCCGCCATTCCCGCAAAGCAGTGATAATGGGTTGGCATGGTTTTCCTTCGCCTACGGGCTCGGGCGCGTAGTGGCTGTGGCGAGAACGCGGCGGAGTCATCGGCGAGGAAAGCCGCTGCGGCGGCGATTGCAGAAGTCCACGGCAGGCTGAGTGGCTGGTGTGCGCCACAGACCCTCGCGGGCACGCCGTGCGGAGCCTCTCTCTTTTGCGCGGCGCGCCCAAGGAACGAGGCAGAAGGGGGCGGGCCTTCTCAGAAGGCTCAGATGGGCTATGTGGCATCTTCCGAAGATGCGGACGGATTCTCAGAGATTAATTACTTAATTAATTTAAGTAATTAGTTGATTAATTAGGTAATTCATTAATTAATTATTTAATTACTTAATTAATTAGAGGCCCCGCCGCCTTCCGATCAGGGCCTGCCCCCGTCGCTTCCCCCCGGGGCGCGCCGCCGACGGAGGAACGCCGGGTGTAGACCCGCGAAGAGTCGTGCATGCCTCACCCTGCAGGAGGGGAGAAAAAACACACAGACACAACTAATCCTCGATCCCCCAGAGAGGCTGGGAACGTATGGGAAGGGGGGGGAGACAACAAATCTTGGAAAGTGTGGGGAATCCTGTGATTTGTGCGTATGTATTTGTGTGTCCCAGGGCCCCTTCAACCCTTCTTTCCACCATCACCTCAACCTCGCATCCTTCTCTTCCGCTTTGCCTGCCCCCATCCTTCCAGCCTGGTGTGGTGGCCCTCATCTGTCCATCCTGGTGTGGTAGCGTGAATGCCTTCTTTGTCTTTCCCAAAAAATCTCAGCCGTGTTGCCGTGTTCATTTTCGCCTGAGCGGGCCAAGGTGGTGTGTATTGGCGCGCTCCTCGTCATGCTTACGGTGCTGATGATGCAGGGGAATTGAGGCGGTTAGCGGGTGGGGCCGCTATTGATTGTTTGTGCGAACAGATCCCGAACGAGGGTCGCACTTTCGGCCATCTGTGACTTATTATTGCAACTGCCGACTGGGGCGAGGTGCTTGGCGTAGTAACTCTGCGAAGGCAGTGGATCGCCTACACGTTGATCTCTTGACGGTGCATCGTCTTGATGCACAGTCCATTCGGAGGTCGCAGGACTCTTTCAGCATTCATGGCCATAGCCATTCTGCGTTATGTTGGGGCGGCTCGCGCGCTCGAGCAATCGTGCGATGCGGCTCTCGTGGAGCCTATCAGGCAGGCAGACAGGCAGGCAGGCAGGCAGTGCACCGCACTGCAGGCGAATGCACGCGGAGGCGAAGGGAGATTTAATGCACGGGTGCAAGAGGCATGGTAGGCGCATTCTGGAAAAGGCAAGGGTATCACAGGCATCGACGTTTTGCATCTGTTCATCCTTGTGGGCTGCTATCGGTTTCGGAGCTTGGGGAGACGTTTCGGGGCAATGATGTCCATGTGCTTGAGTGTGAATCATTGGGAGAGGGGTCTCTACTAGAGATTTCGGGAAGAGTATCATCGGATGATCTACCGCTTGTTTCGACTTGTAATTCCCTGCGAGTAGATTCCAATGTGCAGGTGTTATGAAGCGCTATGTTTCTGAACCCTCCTTGAAGATACGCCTCAAACGGCAATGGACGGGCCAGAATATATCATAGATTCGCTTCCACAGGCCCCAGGGGCGGCACATTTTTTCAAAATTCACCCCACCCCCACGATCCCCTTTCTTGTCCAGGGGGGGGGCGGGGGCGACCCTTTTCGGGGCGTTTCGAGGCTGGGCCCGCTGTTGGGGGACCGCAAATCGGCCCCCAGAGCGATCAGACAGCTGGCCCGGCAGCCCAAGACAGCCCCGAGCCACCCCGAAGACGGCCTCCAGGGCTCTCAGACGGCCCAAAAAGCTGTTCAATCGGACCAAGAGGCCCCCAAGATGACCCAAGCAGGCTCCAAGAGAACCCCGACGAGCGCCCCAAGAAGTCCCAAAAAGCCAAGCTTGCAGATTTACCATCGGTGTTTAAAGGATTTTGGCGTTCTCCGCTTCGGGCTTCTAACGCTCCCAGACGGCTCAAGAGGCGCTCAAGACCGCACCGAAATGTCCCAAGAGGGGTCCAAGAAAACCCCAAGACTGCGTCAGGGACCTCTCGTGAGCCCCAAGATATTCGGGAGGGCCTCAAGACGGCCCAAGAGGCCCCCAAGACGGCCATGAGCGGCCCAAGAGGGCCTCAAGGGGGGAACACGAACCCACAATTCCAGCCTTCCGCATCCCCAGACCCCCAGGAGGCCCAAAGAGGCTCCGACGAGGCGCCTCGAGTTTCCCCAGAGGCCCCCCAAGAGGCCACAAGAGGCCCGAAAGAGGCCCCAAGAAGCTTCAAAACGGCCCCCAAGAGGCTTCGCAGCCGCCCTCGACGAGGTTCCCGAGATGCTCCACACGAGGTACCAACGAACACCGAAGAGGCCTCTGACACACAGCCGGGGCACCGTGGCGGGATTGTCCGACAGCCAACACACACAGACACACACACACATATATACATATATATATATATATATATGTACATTGAGGTCTTCCACCAAGATCTCCAACGTGTCTTTGTTGTTTCATCTTGAGGATGTTCTTCGGCACGCCCCTCTGTCGAATTTCTTCGTAACGCCGATACAACGAGAATCATGTTGTAAGAGCGCCACAAAAGGAATCCGTGTCTAACGGCACCACTAAACGAATCCTTTTATATGGCCGCCACAAGAGGAATCCTTGTGTACTGCCGCCACAAAAGGGAACCTTTTGTAAGGCCGCCACGAAAGGAATCCGTTTGTAGGGCCGCCACAAAAGATATCCCTTTGTACGGCCACTAGAACAAGAAATCTTGTTGTAAAGCCGCCCAAATAGGAATCCCTTCGTCAGGGCGCTAATCTTTTTCTTAGAGCCAGCAGCGGAAAACTAGGAAAACGAAATTGACATTGAAAACAAAAGAAACAGTAGCGAAACACAAGGGACACTTGAAAAACGACAGTGACAACACAGCCAACAGCAACAGCCAAAGACAACACATGAAAACACATCAAACAACCATGAAAACACAAGAAAGCATTTGTTATGTTTGCCATATCCTTTGTTATAATATTCATTGTTTTTGCTGTGGTTTCACAAGTTTTCTTTGGGTGTCATTGTTTCTGGTTGTGTTTTCAGAGGTGTTATGTTGTTGTTAGTTTTTTGCATGGCTTCCATAGGTTGTCTTTGGTTGTCATTGCTTTTGGTTGCGTAATCATAATATGTGTCTGTTTTCCTTGTGTTTCGTTGTGTTTTCCTTGTTCTCTGTGTTTTTCACTGTTTTCCGGGTTTTCCGCTGCTGGCTCCCGGAAAACGATAACGCCCTTACAGAGGGATTTCTTTTGTGGCGGCCTTACAAAAAGATTGTTGTTGTAGCGGCCTTGCAAAAGGATTCCTTGTGTGGCGGCATTACAGAGGGATTCCTTTTGTGGCGGCCCTACAAAGGGATTTCTTTTGCGGCGGCCTTACAAAAGGATCGCTTTTTGCGGAGGCCCTACAAGAAATTCCTGCTGTGGCGGCTTGACGAAAGGTATTCTTCTGTTGCGGCATTACAAAAGAATCCCTTTCCCGGCGGCCCGGACGCACCATTGAGGGTATTCTTTTGTTTTTCCGCCGTCAAAATGAAAGAAGTATGTTCAAATGTTGTTGTCTTGGCGTGGCATGCTTGCCATGAAAGACGTACAGGGAGATCAGCATTTCTATCGAGGTACTCGTTTCTCAGAGAACTTGGGAGGTGGCGGACGCACCCCTAGAGTTTGTTTTTCCGTGGTTCCTGCTTGAAAGAGGAAGTTGTGTGTATGTTTTTTTTATGTTTGGCGGTGCATTTCTCCCTTGACAGCCTTATCGAGCGTAGCACATCGCCATCAATGTCGTATTTTCCCGACTTAGGCTCTGCCTAGAAGGGTTCTTACTCTGAGGCTTAAAAGGGCCGGGCAGTGGAATGCGCCCCGGGCGGTTCCCCCGGCATCCGCCCCGCGGATCCCCCAGTCCCCTCGGAGTTTTAGCGTTAGTTTTAGCTCTAGCTTCTGCTTAGCTTCACCTTAGCTTTAGCTTAGCTTTAGCTTAGCTTTAGCTTAGCATTCATTTCGCGTTAGCTTAGCTTTAGCTCCAGCTTCTGCTTCGCTTCAGCTTAGCTTTAGCTCATATTTAGCTTAGCTTTAGCTTAGCGTTAGTTTAGCGTAGCTTCGCTTTAGCTTAGCTTCAGCTTAGCTTTAGCTTCGCTTCAGCCCAGTTTTAGCTTAGCTTTAGCTTAGGCTTAGCTTTAGCTTCAGCTTAGCTTTAGTTTAGCTTTAGCCTACCTGTAGCTTAGCTTTAGCTTAGCTTCAGCTTAGCTTTAGCTCAGTTTTTGCTTCGCGTTATATTAGCTTTAGCTTAGTTTTAGCTCAGCTTTAGCTTTAGCTTTAGATTTAGCTTTAGCTTAGCTTCAGCTTAGCTTTAGCTTAGCTTGAGCTTAGCTTGAGCTTAGCTGTAGCTTAGCGTGAGCCTCGTTTTTGCTTAGCTTTAGCTTAGCTTGAGCTTCGCCTTAGCTGAGCTTTAGCTTAGCTCAGCTTGAGCTTAGCTTTAGCTTAACTGCAGCTTAGCTTTAGCTTAGCTTGAGCTTAGCTTGAGCTTAGCTTTACTGTTACTACTACTCCTGTTTTCCGAGGGGCTCCACCTCCTAGGCAGGGCCGCACTGGGATATTCGTTCGGCATGTGATTCACTCTTGACGCACCCCTTGAGGGCTTTTCTTGTTTTTCTGTCGTTCAAAGGGAAAGTATGCGATGTGTGTTGAAGTGCAGGGCGCGGGGTAACTCCCGTTAGAAATACAACGGGTGAAAGCTAGCAGCTTTTGTTCTACGTGCGCAAGGAATGTCTTACATGGCGTGCGCGCGCCCTGAATAGGCCAGCGTCTTCTGCATTTTGTTTTGGCGCTGTCTGTCTGTTAGCCAGGACGCCAGTGTATACGCAAGTAGAAACTGTAGCACTGCGAACATTTAGCGACCCGAATGAGTCCGCCACCTCCTTCCGCGCAGGGCGGCGCGCACATCAATGTGGGGCGGCGGTTTCAGGAGTCACGGGCGCAAGCTCCACGCGGGCCCCTGACATTGTTTAAGGGCATCCATTTTATGGGGCGCCCCCTTCGCCCGCTCTTCGCGCTGCCCGCGCTTTCGCTGAACGCGCGGCGCCGCAAGACGAGCGGCTTCTCGGATGGCCAACGCGGGTCTCCAGCCGCGCGCGGATTACAGAACAGTGGGGGATGACAACGCTGAGACGGAGAATTTGGTTCGCCCATCGTGAAGTTGGCGCATCATCTTGCAGATGGCGCTCGGGTCGTGAAGTGGCGTGACGCTGCGAAGTAGATGAGGGCCATTCCGGGCACGTACCAGACTAGCGCAAAAGGCGAACCAAGCAAAACCGACGCGCCCCTGGAGGCCGCGACCCCATGGCCCCACCTGATCACGTTTAATCGCGAGAAGAAGCATTTTGAATTCGTGCACGTGCGACTAGAAACTTTTGAGGGGCTCCTGGAAGTGCATGGCCCAGAGCGTTTCGGAGGTGGCTTGTCAAGCTGGCGACCTCGTGCGAGCGCAAAGAATCTCTCATGATTGGGTCGGGCTCAGCCGGGGGGCCGCGGAGAGGCGGCCCCGCGCGCGGCCGATGTGCCCGCGGGGTATTTCGCGGAGAGGGTCGACGTGGTAGCCTGAGAGTCGGCGCTGGGGAACGGGAGGATCACTCGCAAAGCGGATTCAGCTCGCAGGCCTTTGGCTGACCGCAAGCAACGAGGCGTTCGTGTGGGAGACCTTGTTTCTTGCAGAGTATATAATAACAGGAAGCGCAACATCCCCGGTCGGCGTTATCCGATGGGCATACCCGCGCAGTCCTCTTTGTCAAAGAGGCCAGGGCGTACG